TACTCGCAGACAGCCATAAGCTTCGAGCAAACGTATGCCGTTTCGCGCAAACACAACTGCGACGGACGCCGATCGAACTAGGGGCGCTTTCAAAGCAAAGGATGCAGATTTCGCCTCTGGAGCGGCACCTAGGTACACGAAGCGGCATCTGGGTACACATTTCGGCGGATCCACTGGATCGGTGATGAGGCTGCGGGTCATTCCCTCAGAGGCGACGTCCGCGGGTCGAAGGCAAACGGCGAACCGTTCAAATGCATGTCGGACTCGTCACTTGACTTGGACGAGCTTGGTGAATCGTAGCTACGCTCCATTTTCACACGCGGGTCAAACAGATATCGGGCTGCACGACTGCTAAATACAACTTCTCGTATCATTTTGAGATGGCCAAGCTGTTGGTTTCGGTTTCGCTGCGTAATCAAGGTCTGTTCGATTTGGCCAGGAAGTTCTGAACTATAGTCGGTTACAAGTCAAGAAGGTAGCGGCAAATGCCCTCAAAGGGAATCTTTGCATTTCGACGATAGGTTCGCGGCATCAGGATGATTTTGTATCGGGAGTCACTGGCGGCAGCGCGCGGTCGGTATACCGGTCACCTCGAAGACGAAGGCCTGACGATAGCGTCTTGGCCAAGACAATTATCGACCGTAACTTTGGCGTCAAGTTGAAGCGAGAATCGGCTAAAAAAATGCCGATTCTCGGTGTTTTTCTCAGGCCTGTTAGTGGGAGTCCACAGATACCAGCGGACAAAGCATGCAGTATTATGCTCAGCTACGGGGACATGCGAGTGCCAACGCACTAAATCCCAGACCTCTACAATGTATCGGAGTCGTCAACATGCATCCAAGAGCAACTGAAGGCGGAGACTATCAAGAGGGCAATACCTTTCCCGTGTCTGTAAGTAAGAATATCAACACTGTGGATTCCCACATAGCATCAAAAAGAAACAATTTACGTGAGCCAATATTTCAACACTCACCACAGGGAGCCAAACCTACGCGAGCAGGTGCCTAAACCGCTTTTAGAATATCATAATCAAGCAAACTCCCACCCTCAGTTAGGATCTCAATTCCGCGTCCACCGCGGGTACGTTATTATCATAAATGAGAGGAAATGCAACTTCCGTATCGGCGTTATTGTTAAAGATCGCAGACATTTGAGCAAGCGCTGCGAAAAATGGCACCGCGAGCAGAGACGGACGAGGAGTTCTGCTATCGCCGTCTGCTCTTGTCGTCTGCTTCTGCACGGACGCTGAACAGAGTTCGGAGCCGGTGCAAGATTTTGAGGAACTGGGTCTGAACTCGTTCAGAACTGGGATGAATCGAACGAGCCAGTGCAGCGGTCGTGCAACTTACGGTTGAATCGAATGCACCAGTTCCTGCACTGCTGTACTAGTTCAGCCAGTTCAGGCGAATCGAACAGACCTAAATTGACTGATCCGATTTGGGAGAGGAGTGTGTGGACGTAGTTTAATATCGTTGGCACAGCATCACATCTCAGCTTACAAGCCTTCTGTCCGCTGAAAGCTCAGCTCGTAGCTTCCTTCTGCGAGACGATTGCTGCGTAAGCAGGATCTCGATCTGGACGGGAACCCAGTCCCTATGCACGACGACGATCCACTTTGCTCGTCACTGCATGTCTCGTGGAAAAGTGTGGAACGTCATGTCTTGGCTCGCATGTGCTGCCCGGTTGTTGTGGCACCCAACCGCCCAACAAAAATCTCACCCAACCACGAAACAAGTCCAGCACAACAACGAAAACGAAGCACGCCGAAGTGTTCACTCGCAGGCAAACAACGAGACAAAAATTGTCGCTTTGTGTTTTGTGACGTCAGAGCTTCAATGTTGCCAACGAAAGCAGCGTTTACGCTAGAATGCGATATGAGCAGTATAAATTCAATTACTCACGCAGAGGGGCATATAAAATTCGGATATTGCACGTACGATGCTTCTCGATGCAGTAACAATGATATTTAATTGTTTTCTCGAATACAAAATTTGACCGGACAATCCCTTTAAGTTTGCATCCCGTACCAGTGGCACTGGAAGAAGAGGGCAAGGCAAGGGGGCAGTTGCCCCCCCCCCTTCCCTCTTCTCCCTGGCTGACATTTTAAACTATTATAGCAGACAATATGGGAGACAGGGACGGAGTTTAGCTCCCCAGCTTGTCACCCCTCCACCTTCCAAGCAATACGAACTCAGCTGGCTCCTGCCCATAGCAATGAAAGTCATAGCTCTATATAGACTAGCCCTAGGGGTAGGATGAATGGAAGTTCTTAACTTGAAACTTGAGATCATGTCGGGTTTCCAGTTTTGAAGGCGTGAGGTCGCATCCATGGATGAGGCCATAGAGGGGGGCTCCGACTGCGGCTGAAACGCCACCGGCTTTCACACCTGAACTCCACCCAGGCAGCGTTAGCTTTATATGAACGGCAGGTGCTACGGCCATGGACGCCCGGGGCACGTGACGGTTAGTCTCCCCTCTGGCTAGGTCAACGAAGGCCACCAGGCTAAACCTGCTCTCCGGCGAAACCCCCCTCAGCAAGGCCCCCCGGACAGCCCAACGCGCACCACGTATGGCTACGTTGGGCCCAACTTCCTTCGTTCGCCTAGACACCGGCGCGGCCGCGCCATTGCCCCCCCCCCCCAATCCCATCCCGGTGTCCGGCCGACTATTTGCCGACCCTCATGGTCCACACCGACGTACGAAGGGACCAAGCACCCCATTGAGCCAGAAATCTTGCTGCAGTAACAGGCACGAGGAGATCGGGGGGTATGATGTTGCCCCCGAGCCGCTTAAGGCAGGCCATGGCGGCTAGGGCCACCTCCTCAGCCGGCCCAGAATAGCCCATAGGAAAAGCCTTTGAAAACTTCTCCTTGGTGCTCTTCGGGAAGGCCAGCCAGGCGGCCTCACCGTCTTCGCCTCCTCGGAATCTGAGGCTCACGCCGGAGAGAGTGAGTTGTGATCTTTGGCGACAAGATCCCTGGACATATTGAACGACAAGGGCAGGATAGGGCAGCCCCCCTCCTGATGTTTCCCCGCCGTCTGCACCAGCCGGAGCAACGGGTCTCAAACGAATGGAGCTTGCGGCCAGCGGCTGGCCGGCGGCGGTGGCTTGGGGCTCCTCCCGACCGCGTGACTCCGACAGTCTCGCCATGACGTCGAGTCTCTGCTGTACCCACTCGGCCGGGAAGTCGTCAACCGAGATATCGGCCAGCGAAGAAATCGTCAACCGAGATATCGGCCAGGACTGGGCTTGGCAGATCCGGAAAGACACGACGCACTCTGTGAGTGCCAAAGGCACGAGTTATGGTGGTAGACAAGGCCATAGAGTTAATGAGGCACGGGTCGGCAACCCAAGCCGCTCTGGCCTCCAGCAGGTCCCTGATGAGTGGGTCCTGCTCTCCCTTCCCTCAAGTGCCTCGACCCGCTCAGCAAACAGATCATCTTCCCATGATTCTTGCAGGTCTATGATGCCAGTCCAGATTAATAATAATAATAATAATAATAATAATAATAGTAATAATTATAATAATCATTTTTATTTGCACGAGAAAGTTTGCCCACTCAGCGGCGTGCAAGGCTAGACAGAAAGGTTTGTACCCTTAAGCATGTGCGCCTGCTAGCCCGCCGCTGAGTAGGTGTAAGCATAAACAGTAGTCGTAAGTAAAAGATAACATATATACATGTATAAAACAACGCATAATCATAACCCAGAGGGGAAGATAAGAAACCTCGCTGTGCCCCACCCCACCCCCACGCAGACCACGGCGGAGGCCCCAGCCACAAGCCCAAACACGCGAGCGCACCGCTGTGTGTGGTGCACCCCGCGCAGCCGAGCCCGCAACCGCGGCCTCCGCCACGCCCCGCCCCAGGGTGACACGGAGCACGCGCGAAGACCCTTGGGCGAACCTCTTACGGGCCATCAACTTGTGAACAGATGCTGGCCGTATCGTTTTGCATAGCTCATGGGATTCCTCCCTGCCCCGCGGAAGAGGCTTGCGCTCCCTCAGCGGAAGAGAGAGAAGCTCACCTACGCCTGCAGGGATCGCGGACAGGCCACGTCTTACAGTCCTGGCATGCAGTGGATCAGGCTGGCCAGTACGTCTATTCACACGCACTGCCGTTGATAGGTACGACCCGGTCAGTGAGCCGTCCAGCGTGCGGCAAACCAGGCGCACGCGAGCCATTCGCCGACGTTGCTCAAGTGGCCGCCACCCCGCAAGTTTAAGCCTGGTTGAATAATCTGCGTCCGTGGAGCCCGAAGCGCGTGCGCAAAGAATCCGGGAACCGCGTCTCTGCACGCTCTCAATGCGGTCCACGAGATGCCGCTGAGACGGGGACCACACTGAGCTACAATACTCCAATGACGGCAGCACGATCGATGTATACAAGGTGCGGAAGGCTGAGGGTCCACATGGCCTGGACAACCGAGACACAAACCCCATGGATCGTCGAGCCTTGGCCACGACACTGGCTATGTGGACAGAAAAATCCAGTGTTCTCGTAAATGTGACCCCTAAGATGGTGAGAGAGTCGCATGTGGCTAGTGGCACACCGAGCAGATGGTAACAGGGTTTTTCCAGCTTACGGCCGCTGCTAAAGCGCATCACGGCACTTTTCGCGGGGCTAAGCCGCAGGCAATTGTCAGTCGCCCAGCCCTTTATGTTGTTGATGTAGTCTTGGAGGAGGAGGCAGGTGTCGGGGGATGTAAGTGGGGCCAATATCGACGTGTCGTCCGCGTACTGGACGAGAGGGAATTTGTCGTCCCGGGGCATGTCATTGACGTAGATTAAAAATAATGTAGGACCCAGGACCGACCCTTGTGGCACACCGGAGGGAACGTTCATCGCAGCCGAGCGCGCACCTCGGTAAACGACTTGTTGGCTTCTTCCGCTCAGAAAGTTCGACAGTCACTTCAACAGGATACCTTGGATGCCGGCGCCCGACACCTTGCGCAGAAGGAGACCGATGTCGAGGGTGTCGAAAGCGTTGCTGAGATCAAGCTAAACGAGATCTGTCTCTGTGCGATTGTCGATGCAGTTGCTTACGAAATGGCTCAGGGTCGCCAGGGCCGTCTCACAGTTACGGTTGTGTCTGCAACCATGCTGTGACTGCGATAGGTAGCCAGTGCCCTCGAGGAAGTCGAGAAGTTGGCCGTTCACCACGCGTTCGAATGTGCGGCAGATGATCAATGTTATTGAAACCGGTCGATAATGCGTGACGTCGTCTGTAGGCTTTCCTTTTCCCTTGTGGATAGGGGTAACCAAGGCGTGTTGCCAGGAAGCAGGAACAGCTCCCACGTCGAAAAGACTCTGAAGCACACGGGCGAGCGAGGGCAAAGTGTGCTGCATGATCATCTTGAAAAAGGCAGGTGCCACACCGTCTGGGCCAGGACATTGCGAATGCTTGATCTTGGACACCGCAATGCTCAGTGCTTCGGTTGAGAAAGTGATCTCCTCCAGGCTCGATGCGTCGGTGCCAGATGATGATGGTGCGAAAGCAGCGGAATGCGCAGACAGCCGCTGTCCGTCGGTGTTGTAGACAGACGAGAAGTGGTCTGCGAAGAGTGCAGCAATCTCACCGGGGGCATCGATCATTCTTCCGTTGGCGCAGAAGCTGGGACGTTGGCAAGGCCTTCTGAGGCGACGTACGTACGACCAGAAGACCTTAAGGTCGTCCTTTGCTTTTTGTGCTATCGTGGAGGTGTAGCGCTGGTGTGCGACATGTATGGCAGCCTTTAGAGCGCGCTGGTGGTCTTTTGCAGCGTGTAAAGCCACGGGACAGTTGGAGCGGGAGGCCTTCCTGAAGAGTCCCCTCTTTATTCTCGCTGCCTTCATTATGTCGGGGGTGATCCATGGGCAATAATTTCGTCCTGAGGAGCGGGTGCGGAAGGGCACGTACTCCTTCTGAATTGCTCCCGCCAGGTCGCACCACAGATCGAAATGACCAAGGGGTTCATTGGCAGTCGTCGTCATGCACCAAGGTGCGAGGTGTGCCAGGCGTGCTAGGTGGCCGTGGTCGGTCTGGTCGAACTTCCATAGTGTGCGTGCATGGTGCCCCCTACGTGGCAGCACAGCGGCGTACGTCACCTCGATCGCCAGGTGATCGCTATCGGGCAGTCCCTCAGAAGTCTCACAGGAAACTATTCGGGTCGGGTCTACCACGAAGAGAAGGTCTAGAAAGCTGGAAGTTCCGTCGCGAGCTGAGTACGTCGATCCAGCGCACGCCTGCGTGAGGCCAGCTGATGACGCAATGTCGAGTAAGAAGTCATCCGAACGATCGCGGGGAACAGGCTCCTCGTGTGTGAACCAGTCAATGTGCGAGTTGAAGTCGCCGAATACCAGTATGTTCTCGTAGTTCCTGAGAGAAGCGGCCCGTAACGATACCTCCAGGAGCCTGTATGACTCCTCCCGTATCGACGGCGGGTAGTAGACACAGCCCACTAGGACTGTGCTGTGAGGCACGCAGAGCTCCACGAAGAGTGCTTCGAGATCGTGGTGTTCAAGGTCCGTGCGACGAAAAATGCGTGCCGACGCCGGGAAAGCCAATAGGACACCTCCCCCCTGCCACACCTGTCTTTCCGGAACACGGTGTAAGCATTCGTGTCGAAAAGTTCGCTGTCTGCTACACCTACGTCGAGCCAAGTCTCCGTGAGCAACACAACAGAACCTGGGGGAAACGAAGACACGTGTGCCTGGAGGTCTACCACCTTGTTTCGAAAGCTTCGGCAGTTGCCGTACCAGAACATTGTCACTTTCCTCCCTCCGCCGGGCGATCTCCCGGTTGCAACAGGCGTAGGTACCGTAAGAGGCTGTATCATGGAGGCCACGGGAAGGTCAAACAAGTCGTCCGCGAAAGGGGGCAGGGAGCAACCCAAGCAATACCACAAATCGTTGCTGGAGCTCAACTTCCTGTACTCCGGCAGAGAGACATACACGCATGCACGGTGGGACCAGCGGTCACATGCATCACAGCACAGCGCGGCCTGGCAATCCAGAACACGTTTGGTACAACGGGTGCAGGTGATGTGCTGAGGTCCTGGGTTTGAAGCGACGTCGCCGGAGGGAAGAACCGTCGCGTCGACCAGCCACTCGGTACTGAGGCAGAACAACAAGCAGGCAGCAAAGTGTCTCCATCGCGGGGTCGTAAGTCCTTTAAGCCTAACGGCAGCACCGGGCCCATTCAAGCATCTCGCGTAGGACGCGTCGGACGCGGTGGAGGCACACAAACCGAGACCGCGAAGGCCCACGCTGTTCGGAGGAGAGATACAGGTGGAGGCACGGTAGGTGACGAGCGACAGCAGCAAGAAAACGGCAAAAATGCTGTGAGACGAGTGGCAACCTGTACGTACGGCCATTCTTCCTCGGAATATGCCAGGCATCGCAGCACGAAACGTTGCTCCGAGACGCAGCAGGTTCGGACTTCCCGACGACGAGCGTCGTTGGTGCAAAGGGGAGCCAGTGAAAAGCGCCGAGTGCTAACACGCGTGGACTCTACCAGACGGTGCCGGACAGCCCACATGACAGTAGCAAATGGGTCATCATCAAGCCTGACCGCATCTCGGTCCTCCACTGTTTCAAGTTCGACGGCATTCCCCTTCCCACGGAGAATGAGGCCATACTGCCTCTTGAGAAGAGACTCGAAAGAGAACATTGGAGTTCTTAAAAGCTTATTCAATGTCCTCTCTCCGAGACTTCCAACCACGAACGGATAAGAGCAAAGCAGCCTCACGAGCGACAACTGTTCCAAACCGTAATTCGCGTAGATGTACGACGCTACCTCAAGTGCGTCCAGGATTTCTCTGGAACATCCTTCCCCGACCCTTCTCCCACAGATCAGATGTCTCCGATATCGGAGGCCCCCAATCTTTAGATTGGGGCCTCCGATATCTGAGACATTCGGGGGCATTTGGGGGATATCGGGGGCATTCGTCCAATTGGTATACAATATGTTAGGAACGTTCTTAATTGTTAATTAGTGTGATATATGGTAGTCAATGCTGACTACCGTATATCATAGTTTCACAACTTTAGAAAGAAGTTAGCATATGCAGGTAACCTCTATGTTTGGGGACACCATTGATTAAATATTGTAATTACAGCTCTACATGAAGCTAATTTACTATAAAGTATAATTAAAACCTAGTAATAGAAAAAAAACTGTACCTGCCAAAAATTCACAACTTAAAAAAAAGAGCAAAATAAATATAACAGTAGCCCAACCAAGAACATACAGCCTTGATTGGTCAGTGTTAAAAAATTTAAAAAAGTGACACATTCCAGAACAAAGCATGCATCGTGGTGAGCCCAAGCTGTGCCATAACTGAAACTACTAGATAGCTAGTGAGCTGCTCACGTGCACCACTCCATCATGCATCTGCACAATAGATGTGGGCTCTGAATTTCTGATTTGCATGCGGCATGAACTGGTTGGACCACTCTGAAGGCAGGTGTGGGCACATGCATTAAGTGCCAGAGCGCATCCTTCAGTATGTCCAGTAATGCTGAGGTGAAGTTTGCCCAATAAGTTGAGTTTCTACATGGCTTCATTTGTTGAAAACTGCTCTGTCAGCATTCTTTGATGCTTTGTGTGTGTTCATCAAATTGAAGATTATATATTTATGTCAGAACTGCTGGAGCCTCCTGCTAAACAGGCGTGTTAGTTTTAGGCAGGCAGCAAGGGCCTGCCTAAAAGACGGGGGCGGGGAGCAGTGGCTCCCCGCCCCTGTCTACTCTCCCCATCGGAAAGCAAAGAAAGTTCTGTTGAGAGCTGGGGTCTTAAGAGATCGACAGAAGTTCTATATTATATTTCCTCGACAAGACAAGTTGCAAAGTCCTTCAAGACCATGAGGCTTTTGATTAGCTCCATGGCAGGAGCTGCAAGAACAACAGTTTCCCTTGTTTAGGGAGGAAAAATCATCTCCAGCAGTCACACTGCAATCAATAAATTGTTCATATGCAGTTCATATGCAGCAAGGTCCAAGGTTCAAGGTGTTTAATGGCACAACTTCCCCACAGCCGAGTGCCTGAGGCAGCCAAAAGGCTGCCTCAGGCCCATACAACGAAGTGCTGGCTGCCTCCTCTCTGTCTCCCCAACTGGAACAAGTTCCCACACTCTTGGCATTCCTAACTAAGGATAGTTAGAGACAATCAGGTCTTTATATGACTTTGATATGGAAACTTCTCATCAGTGTAAGATGGCGTGCAAAACGATGACAGTTGAAGAGAAGCCAGACGCTGAATCCTTGTATCCCTCACCATGGTTGCTGAGCAGGTGGCACTACGGTTACAACTGATCCTCGGCCACAGCAGTAACAGTATGACCTAGGACGGTACCCTGGACTAAAGGGTGTTCTGCTGCGGTTCGGATCCAGCTGTGCGGGAAGTTGGCACCTTAGAGATTTCTTTTTCTAGGACAGGGTTCATGGATGTTGAAGCATGGCATCAGAAGTTGAGTTGTATCAAGAACGTTGAAAGTAAGTGCTCGGAGAGCTTCTCCGATTAACTTCTTGTCCCAGTATCTCAGCATGACTGTAATCTGCTTCAACATTAAAAATAAGTCTGTAGGTAAGTAGCTAAACATCCGGATGGTTACTAATCTGCTGCGCCTCTTCTTTTTGTGGAGTGTATGACGACACTCAACTGAAAAAAGCTACGAGAATATGAAGATGCCATCAGTACAACGAGAATATGGTGAATGTGGGCATAACAGAATGGAAGTCCTTGTAACACATGGTCCACGGATCACGGGAAGTTTGTCGGAGTGCTTTTCACTCTGAATGGCATGCACACAAACTCGCAAACTGAAAGGCATTAACGAGAAAAGAGTCAAAGTACAGGCTAGCTGGTGGAAGTCAACCATTTCGTCGTTTACCCTGAGACTGGGGTTTTTTTTTGAAGAGCAGAAGAAACAGAAAAAACCTGTCTGACCTGTCTGAGACCTGTCTGTTTTTTCTGTTTCTTCTGCTCTTCAAAAAACCCCCCCAGTCTCAGGGTAAACGACGAAATGGTTGAAAGGCATTGTTAGGCTCCTTTTGAATTTCCAATGGCTTGTCTGGTATTGGTGCTAGGACTTACCAGATCGACCTTGGAAAAATATGGCACGGTATTGTTGAGCAGTGTAATGAAGATGCTGATGCAAAAGAACTGTGTTTTTGGTGTTTTTCTGTTTTGCAGCAGCTGTATATGGTCAGAACTACATCGTACTGCGCATGAATTATGTGCAAAACTAGCTTTTTTAAGTTGATGAGTATAATCAGTGTGCAGAACGCACACAATTCTACATGGACATGTTAGCAAAAATAAAATAACTAATAATGTCTCGTTGCAAGGACACACACAAAAAAATGGAATTGGTTGGGAACCACATGTAAACTGGTAAAATAACTGCAGTACACTAACAACAAAAAAAGCTATTTTAATGTTGACACACCACACCTCCTCCGAATTAAATTGTACATACGACCGCTGCTGGAAATTCTGAGGAAAGCAGTCTGAGTAGCCACGGTCGGCAGCGACACATCAGACATGCTCAACGGAGTGCGAACCGGACCTGGATTGGCCTCGACATCATTGTAGTTGCACCAGTTTCGCACCCAGGCGGAGCCTGGGGCGCTCAGCACGTACTGGGCCGTGGCGAGCAGCTGGGCGAAGAGGCCAATAACAGCTGTGCGTGTTGAAGTCATGGAGAAAACACAGACGGCAGGCGACGACGAATGGCCTAAGGCTAGGTAGTTCTAGCAGAGTGTGTTGAATAGACTACAGTTCACGCAGGAAGAACTGTGTCTGTCCCTCGTCTATTTTCAGTGTTTTTATTCTTACTGTGTGAACTGTGGCCTAAGGCTGCAGCGTAACGTGGCGAGACTGGCAAGGGGGCGTTGCCACTCGCAAGCTCGTGGAGGTCTGTCGAAGGGCAGCGGGTAAAGATGTATTTAGGAAGCTGTTTGAGCTTGCCTGTCCAAGTCTCAAGGCTCTTTAAGCTCGTGGAGGTCTGTCGAAGGGCAGCGGGTAAAGATGTATTTAGGAAGCTGTTTGAGCTTGCCTGTCCAGGTCTCAAGGCTCTCTTTAAAGCGGCGTAGGACTGACAGGGTCATGCAAGCCTTCTTTTTCGGGCTCTTGGGAGGCCACCTCTCCTGAGCCTCCACCTCACAAGCCTCAGCCTCGCGGCTCATCGCTTCGGGACAGGGGCCCGTCGTCTGCAGCTCCGCAGGGCGCGCACTGGAACCCGATACCCGAGCAAGCTGCCTTTACTATTCACCACTCCAGGCTTCTTGCGCATCTCGATGAACCCTGTTGACTTTGCGCTAGAGAGCAGCCTTTTCCTCGTTCATCTCACTAAATTGCACAGTTCTTCAGATTCTGCAATTGTTGAATTAAGGTGTATTTGGTATAGATATGCACTACGATCAACCAGTTACTTATAAAAAGAGGAATGCCAGGGGGGAGAATTTTCCACATACCTGGCACGTTGACAGTCTGCGCGTGGTAGTAGCCCCCCTTGGTTGTTATGTTGCCGCTCCAGAAGACGTCGTACAAAAAGTCTGGGTTGTAATCCCCGCACGTAACAGAACGGAAGTCTTATATTTCTTCTAACCACAACCGCTGTCGTCACGGTCTATATTATATCCCACCAACGCAAATATCTTGCACATCACTAATCCAAGCTGTATGTATAAATGGTAGCAAAGCTTTTATGGAAGCTCAAAAGGCGCTAATATGGCAGCTCATTGGGTGCGGCGCCATGTGTGAGGTGTGCGGCATTTCCGCTAGTCATGCTCGCCTGCGACGTACGGGAAGTGACGCCTTATTAAAAACAAACACAAAATGATGCAATTTCCTCTTGACTATAACATCACGATTGCTTTTTGCTAGTGACACGAAATTTAAATGCTTTTTTTATGTGTTCTACATGCCTGCGCAACTACTGTCCTTCATAACTTGCTTCATACAAAGTAAAGTGAATGGTATACTTAAGCAGACGCATAGAACACAGGAAAAAAAAACAATTAGACACGTTGGCATTCTATTTGTTGTGCATTAGACATTGGAATCTATCACTCTCATATAATCTCTTTAGTAAAAGAACCAGTTTTTTCATCAGTTCTGAGAACCACCAAAAGTTAATATATTTTTGAAATTATCCAGTGTGTTACAGCACGTCAATGAATGGATGCTTATTATTCTAACTGTCGGAGGGTTAGGCGAGTGGCCGAGAAAAGTCACCACTGCTTGGGAGATGGGGGGTGCCCGGAAAAAACAATAAACGCAGACTTGCAGGACAGTACTGACTCACTGCCCAACTGCGACATGGTGGCATTTTCATAGTTCTTGCCTTCGTCCTCCGTCAGCTTCAAAGAACAAAGAACGTCCTCCCCTTTGCGGCCCATGGCGTAAACGTGTTTACTTGCATTTCTTGAGAATGGAGATGCAACTCGGTGATTACCCTGTAGCGTTGCCATCTCGTGAACCACGTCTTCCGCGTGTGCGGCTGGTGAAAGTCGAACTTTTCCGGCAGCTGTGTTGAAATCGGTTTGAAGTAGCTGGCTTCCCGCCTGAACCGCTGCTTTTTGGTCCGCCATGTTGGACCGGCGTTGTTGCGCAGTTACGCGTGTCCGCTGCTCCCACCGCTGCTTTGGTTGCGCGTGCCGTGCCCGCTGCTGTTGCTTTTATCGCTGACAAACTAAGCCACTGAGATACCTACTTCGTCATGATGCAGTCTGGTACTGGGGAGAGGCTCAGCAGCAAGCCTTCGAGCAGACTAGGGCAGCTCTCATCACAAACTCGGCATTGGCAATGTACAACCAAGGAGACCACTTGACACTCTTTGTCGATGCCTCATCCTATAAATTGGGTGCTGCACTCCTGCAGGAGTCCCAAGGCGAGCGGCGATCAGTTGCCTATGCATCCAAGGCACTAACGGAAACTGAGCATTGCTATGCCCAGATTGAGAAGGAGGCACTAGCCATCACGTGGGCTAGTGGCCATTTCCTCACATACTTTCTAGGGCTCCGATTTCATATTGAGACTGACCATGAGCCACTTGTGCCACTTCTCACCACGGAGCGTCTAGATGAACTCAGTCCTCCTCTGCAACGTTTCCGCATGCGACTACTGGAGTATGGCTTCACGATTTCCGACATCCCAGGAAAGGAGATCTATACGGCAGATGTGCTGTCACGTAAGCCACTAACTGCAGCAGGAAAAAAAAGAAGCTGCCGACCTGGAGGAAGCCGTTCTGGAGTATGAAGTTCTCAGAGTGGAACTGTTACCTGCGTCAACAGACATGCTCTCACGGATCAAAGATGAGATCGGGAAGGATCCTGTCACGTCTGGAGTCATGGAGTGCTGCTCTATGGGCTGGCCGAGCATGAGAACTCTACCACCAGAAGTGCGGCGATACTGCGAAATAGCAGGTGAACTCTCAATAGTGCAAGGACTTCTGTTCAAGGGCAACCGACTGGTTGTACCCCCAGCCCTTCGCAACAAAGTCCTAGACAACATCCACACCGGGCATCAAGGCGTAGCCAGGTGTAGAGCCCGAGCCAGAGAAGCGGTGCGGTGGCCAAACATTGGCTTTCACGTAAAGAAATTTGTCCGCCAATGCTTCACTTGCCGAGAGGAGCGCAAGCCAGGAGCGGCCTCTCTCCTGCAGACGCTTCTTCCCGATAGGCCGTGGGAAGGGATCGGCATGGATCTTTTCTCACTTGAAGGCGACAACTAATTGGTCGTTGTTGACTACTTTTCTCGATTCTTCGAGTTGGTCAAGTTGAGGACAACGACCACAAGAGACATCACTGAGGCTCTGCGGCCAACGTTTGCTTGTTTCGGAACGCCTGATGTCATCCGATCTGACAACAGACCACAGTTTGCATCTGCTGAATTCAAATATTTTACCAGGGACTGGAGCATCAAACACATCACTTCCAGCCCCTACTATCCACAGAGCAACGGTGCAGCAGAGATAGAGTGCAGACAGCGAAGCAACTCTTTCGGAAGTCTCCCAACGTAGAGCAAGCACTTGTTGCACATCGAGCGACTCCGGGGAAGGAGGGGTAGAGCCTAGCTAAACTCATCATGGGACGCAAGGTAAAGACGAGTGTCCCTGCAGCCCCAGGGTCACTACGGCTGCGCTGGAGCTGCGAAGACCTTAGAGCACGCAACGCACAGTATAGGAGGCATCAGAGTCAAGATTTTTACCGGAGCAGCCGCACATGGGAAAGTAGCGCACGCTGCCGCAGAACCTCAATCATGTGTGGTGGAGACAGCGTCCGGCACTACAAGACGCACGCAGAGGCACCTACTACTGGCAGGAGAGCCTACAGAGGCACAAGCAGCTCAGCAATCAGCCTCTGTTGACGAGCCAAGCATCAATGGGCCAAGTTATGAGACACCGAAACCGAAGCAGACGCACAGGGGACAAGGGAGACAACCAGTGCGCCTGGACTTGTAAGACTTTGGGGGTGTCGGAGGGTTAGTCGAGTGGCCGAGAGAGGTTGCCACCGCACGGGAGACGGGGGGCGCCCGAAAAAAACAATAAACGCGGACTCGCCGGACGGTACAGACTCATTGACAGGCTGGTCTCTGTCGTTTCACTGCCTTTTTGTCTTTCACAAGAAAGACAAAAAAGCACAAGCTTGATTTACACAGTTTATTATATAGAAACTTACAACACCAGCACAGGACACTTAGTGATAGAGATATGGTGTTGAAAGCTTAGTGAAAGGAGGTTAGAACAACTATTTTCACTCACTGAATACTCTCAGCACGAGGCACATTTACGCATTTACCTTGCACTTTTCACGTTGAGCGCTCGTAACTAGATTTGACCCTATTAATCACAAGTGGTAGTGTGGGGCCATGCATGTCTTTGCATTTGAATGTCCACCATACAATTTATAATATTATGCATTATAAGATGAACGCTTGATAGTTTCCAGAGCATTCGTAGCAGGTGCACTCCGTGGTAAAACGATAACCGCAGTTAATACTTATAACCATGGTTGAGCTTAACCGTGGTTACAGCTGCCCGTGTGAAGCGGTTATAATTTGCTAAGGTTCTAAAGTTTGAGCTATGGCATTGCAAATTTCTATATAATTGCAAATAATTGGTTTGGGGTTAATATCCATGGAGTGTTGCTATACCAGATTTTTATCAATAACACTTATGACCACGGGAATTTGAAGCATAACTCACATTTTATCGAACAAAACACAGTCCTTCTTCCTTCCGGCCTGCCCCACCAATTACAGTTGTGAAAGCTGCTTGTTCTCATTTGAAATTCGAATCTATCTATAGTCCATTGCAAGTAAAGAAGGTAGGGCGAGGGTAAGACGGGGTGGGGAAGAGGAAGCAGACGGAACGCTGGAGAAGAAAGGGGGGAAACCTCCTTCCCTCTTTAAACTTCCATCTGCTTCCTCCTCTCCGGCCATCCTCACCCTCGCCATAACTTCTTGAGTTGCAACGGACTATAGAGTTGATTTTATTCACATGTGTCGGCAGGAGACTCTGCAAGTAGATGTTTTTGCCTCTTTACAGGTAATCCTTCATGAAAGTCTTGTTGTAGGGCACAACCACAACCTTGTCTTCTTCAGTCCACAGAAAGAGATGACAAATGGACATTCCAGTGCATTGCATCTAAACTGCACTTTGTCGAACTTAGTTTGTCCTTTGGGATGCAGCACAAAATAACCATATGTAGGTGAGCACCGCTTAGCAGTTTTTTTACGTTTGGGTACTTTCGTAGCCATTGTTGGGGTATAACAAGAACGGTTTTTTGCGGGTTAGAGGCAATACGTGTGGTCAGCGACATACAGCCGTGTCCTCGCATGGTTGCGCCGTTCTCCCCGTCCGCTGCCCCCCGGAGCCAGAGTACTCTATGCGTAGGCGCAACGCTGCAGTTGGCGGTCGCTCGCAATGCCACCCACGACACCCCCCTTTCTTAGGAGTAGGGAGCCGCGCTACAAGTCCAAACTGTCCGGTGGTCTGCTTGGTCGTCCGCTCCTAGTGACCGCCGTTGGCTGCATGGGTCTCTAAGTGTGTCGTGTTAGTCCTGTCGATGTGCTTACAATGTAGAACCTTGGTTGGGCGGCTGGCCGTGTCACTGTACCGCAGGATGCCGGACCGCTCTGCATGCGCACAACTGTCTTTGGCGGCAGGCTTTCACGACTTCTCACTCTGTGGCGCACGTTGTAGGTCTGCTTCACTCGCGCCCTGTACGCTTCATTCCTGCGCCTGAAGTCGCCGTCGTCCCACTTAGGTGCGAGCATCTTGGTTGTGGTTGGCATGGCGTATTCAGGCGGCGACCCATTAGCAGTTCGCAGGGTGAAAAACCTTCGACTCCTGGCATAGCTCTTTGCGATAGAAGAGCCAGGTTATGTCCTTCGACTTCTTCAGGAGTTGTTTCGCTGTTTGGACCGCATGCTCTGCCATGCCGTTGCTCTAGTATGGACTTGAGGTTACATGGTCTGCGCCCCAACGTTCCACCAGGTTCCTGAATTTGGCTGAGGCAAACTGTGGGCCATTGTCTGTCCGCATATTTCTTGGCGCTCCAAATCGTGCGAAGATTGGTTCCAAGACTTGAGCGATGTCTTTTGTTGTAGTGCCCTTTAGTTGCTCCACCTCCAGGAACCTGGAGTAGTAGTCCACAACCACAATGTAGTCTCTCCCTTCGAGTTTAAAGAGGTCAATGCCGATAGTGTCCCATGGGTTTTCAGGCAAAGGAGTCAGCAGCAGTGGCTCAGTTGGTGGCTTTCGATGTAGGCAGACAGAGCATCTTTCTACAAAGTCTTGTACCTGCGTTCCGATGCTAGGCCACCACACCGACTGTCTTGCTCTTGTACGACATCTGCTCGTGCCCATGTGGCCGGCATGAAGTCTTTCCAGCAACTCAAGCCTCGAGTTTGGTGGGGTCACGAGTCTGTCACCCTTAAATAGCAGACCGTCGACAATAGAAAGTTCACTCGCTACCTCTGTATAGCGCTTTAGTTCCGGTGCAAGTCCATGTACGGTCGGCCATGACGAGGTGCACAAAGTAGCCACTCTGGGGAGAGTAGGGTCTGCTTCAAGTGTCACTTGAACAGCCACTCCGGCAGCTGTTCAAGTATCAACTCCTCGTACTCTTGCACTGCGCTCTCAAGGTCCCTTTCTTTGTCCTCGGCTGGCTCTGGTTGCGGCTTTCGGGACAGTAAATCAGCAGTGTACAACTTGTTTCCAGGAGTGTGACACTGTATAGTCGTACTCTTGCAAGCGCATTCGAAAGCGTTAAAGACAAGGACTGAGCTCGTCTAGTCGCTTGGTTGTGAGCAGCGGCACAATAGGCTTGTGATCCGTTTCTACATGAAATGTGGATTTGAGGAGGTACTTGCGGAAGTGTTCACATGCCCATGTGACGGCTAACGCCTCCTTTTCAATTTGGGCGTATCGTTGCTCTGTTTCAGAAAGTGAGCGTGGTGCATACGCCGCTGGTGACAGCCTGTCACCTGCCTGCTGCAGAAGAACGGCTCCCAGCACGTAAGATGAAGCATCGACTGAGACTGGGTGCTGGGAGTCGTAGTGGGCGAGAACTTTTGTTGCGCAGAG